GAAAAAACACTGGAAAATCTTACAGAGTTAAAAAAATTAATTTCAAGGGTATGTTTTAATAGCCTTTGATCTCAAAATTCGAATTAATTAATATAGTTAGATCCGTATCAATTTTTACAGGAAAAAGTGAAACCAAAACGTAATAACGTTCTACGACTTTGTATTTTGATAAGTGGAATGGGCATATTAACACTAGCATTAAAGACATACTTAATGTAATGGATAAAATATTTGATATACTATCTATTCCACTAATTTAAAAGTTCTAGAATTACTTTTCTGCTCATGTACGATTATAAATAAAGAAGTGAACGAAAAATCGATTTAAATAAAGAAAATTCGATTCTCGAATATCTCGATTAGAACAGAACCTTTCTACAGGTCGATAATCATTCCTATCATACAAATAATAATCCTATTGATAATATTCTTATTACTAAAATAGTAATACTTAGATAGTTATACTTTGATCCCCTATTAGTTAATTTGAAGCATCTTTTGGATAATATTATTATTGGCTTTATGATATGATTTTTGGATATTATTTGGGAAAGAATTCGAGAAATAGGAGAAAATGAGTTTCATAAACCAAACAAATGGTATGTAAGTACGAAATTACAATACGAATGAATACGACCAATCGATTGAAACCGATCGAGTTCTCGATTAATTGACGTTCTATCCGCGCGAAGCGCCCCCGTAAGAGGATCCACCCTAAAAGAGCTCGTTGGTGGGAGAAGAAAAAGGGTAACCTTTCCTAGCGCATGCGCGCTTCCATCAACTTCGAGCTTTCAAATTTCAGTTCAGTCGTAGTAAGATGGACGGTGGAGCGTACGGTGGAGGAAAGGCAGGAGCCCCTTTCGACCCCATTGCCTTCGTTCAAAGGCCTCAAGTCATCCTAAGAGCAGTATGCTTGGTAAGTTATCTCATCGAAAATCCAACACCTAACCTCATCTCTAGGCAACGTCTTCGTAAATAGAAGGAAATGTCGATTTTATGTGACGAGCATTGATTTTAAACGGTGAACCACTACCCCCTCCACCAACACGACACGATGGGGTTCTATTGATTTTTCGCGAATTCTCGTAATACACCCCATAATCTTGTATAATTGTCATCGTTACCAATAATTGTTTAGTTCAAATTTATTTCGTTGTAACGCTTAATTAACTAGGATGCATTAAAACATCAATAATATTCATTCCAATTGTCTTTCGGTGTCATTTGCATGATTCTTATACCTAAGTTAAATTTCGAGGTATTTAGATCGCGAAGATTTTTCAAGTTTTTCAAAAGACTCGGTTTCTGTTCCCTTTAAGGCAAATGAGATATCAAAGATACCGGGATCGATTTCGGGCGTCGTTCTTGTTGGAAACTCCGTACGGTTTTAATGAGATTCTAATTGTAGCTCAGAATACAGAAAATCGTTTCAGAGAGAGAGAGGATGTCTGTTAATTGATTTTTCATGCCACGAGTAAACGACAACCGCGTAAATTTTCCAATATTTGGTTCGTAAGATGAGATACTCAATATTATACCTAAAGACCTTTTTCGTAAAAATTACATTTAACCTTTTTATTAAAAACTTTTGAGTGTTTTTCCAATTCATCGAAACATTTTTCAATTCCAAGTATACTTTTTTTAATTACTGCAATGCTAAATATATTTTTTTAATGCATCTATTATAATTTTTAAAATGTCAAAAATTCTACATATTTTTGAACGATCTGAATTAAAAAATTGAGAAGTATTGAATTCCAATGGTCATAATTATTTTGGAAGTGTGACATTTAACGAATATCCTTGAAAATGCTTTATAATTAATGAGTTTATGAAATAAACTTTGAAATTAATTTTTACAAGACAGTATTTAAACAATTGTTCTCAATTTGTTAGACATATTATTATTTTTAATTTGTTTATTAATATTCTGTTTCTGTTATGTTTCCGTATGTTTTGTTTCTGTTATGTTAACTAAAGCAATCGATTTATTATATAAATACC